CCCCCCCCCGCAGATGCCCCGGCCTACTGGCACTGCATCCAGAAACCAAGGCAATGCATCCAGAAACCAAGGCAAAGGGCTATTAACGTGATCAGTATCAGTGAGATTATCATGATCACCGATCGTGCATCCCAGAGATGTGATTTTTTAGGGAATGAAACCCTCGTAAGCCAAGATCCGACGGCAGAAGAAATTTCAGCTCTTAGAAACAACTTAGAAACAACGATAATTGTCATACGCTGCCCAGGGTCACCTTTATGTGAGTTGGGTGGCTATGTAAATATGATCACTAAATAAATAAAATAAACTCCATCTGTGGCGATTAACAGGAGTTGGGGGACATTTGCAAAGCAAGAAAAAGAAAAAAGGCAGAGAGTAGGAAGGACCAAAACGTGGTTTCTTTTCCCCCCAGCTTGATTTGGAAAGCCTCTTGATTAAAGTGCGCCTTGATCTCTTTTGTGGGCAGTGATCCTGGTTGCAGGATCCTGGTCTCCATTGAAAATAGATAATCCTCTGGGGAAGGCCCATCTCCTCTTCGATTTCAGAGAGCTGATGTGCGGAGCTCTCTAGAGCAGCTCTTCCAAACATGGAAGCAGGGGAGCCGTGGGGTGCCTCCCACTTTACTAGCTGGTCCCCCACATCTTCCTGTGGATGACCAAGGGGGTCAAGGTGGTGACGCCTCAGTGGGTGGCAGGGCCTGGCTCACCATCTCTTGGCTCCCAAGCTAAGCGGAGTCAGGCCTGGTTAGTACTTGGATGGGAGACCATGAGTCATCTCAAGAGCATGGGCCAGAGTGGGAAGTCGCAAAATGGTCCAGAAGAAGAGAAGGGCAAAGCACTTCTGTACTGTGGTCTAGAAAACGGTCTGTGAAATCCCCAGGACTCCATATTGATTTGAAGGAGACTTTAATTTAATGTGGTAAGGTAAGGTACCAGGTAACCAGTGAGCCAAACTCTAGGGCAGTGTTTCTCAACCTCAGCAACTTTAAGGTGTGTGGACTTCAACTCCCAGAATTCCTGGCTGGGGAATTCTGGGAGTTGAAGTCCACACAC